GCTCGAAACTTTATACTTTTCAGTAAAACTTATTTTATTCTCTAAAAAAGAAGAAAAAGTTTCATTTAAATCAAATAACTACGATCTTTCTCACACGTTACAAACGACTGAAACTCATCGTAGACATGAGGGTTGTGTCGTTGACCAGGTCGATCGACGTCGTCAAATATTTTGGACCATTCGTTTCCTTTCTCCTGTGCAACTTACTTGAATTCATAATTCGAGTACCTTCAAGGTTATTTATGCGAGGACTTACGACTTTCGTTCTTCAAACAATTCTAAAGTATTTTTTTCACATTCAGCCTCAAAAACTGAGTATGAGAATGATGTTTGATCGAGGTTGAAGTCAAAGGTCTATTCATTATGAACGTCTTGATATTTAGATTATTCGACTCAGTTTTTGACGCTGATTCCGAATATGATATTTATATTGGATAAAACTTGGATTCTGATGGAGAATTACAGGGAAAATTCAGATTTTTTTCCTCTTGATCTAGGAAAAATGAATTTACTCAGTGGCGAATCAAAATAAAAAAAGGCGGTTTATACTTTTAAAGTTCGTTTAATGGCGGTTCTAATGAAGTAAAAAGGTCGGCTTTATCTCTTCACAAAAAAGACTAGAGAGGTTTACAAAATTGTTTACGAACTTTTTACAGGACGAGTCGGAGACGCCGTAATGAATAGAGCTTCGACTTCAACCTCGATCAAACATCATTCTCATACTCAGTTTTTGAAGTTGAATGTGAAAAAAATACTTTCGAAATGTTTGAAGAATGAAAAAGAAAAAATTTTGAATTTTTTTGAAACTGAAGAACTTTTTGAAAGTTTAGCCCCTTCAAGTATTTTCAACTTTTTCAAACATTAAAACACATACTTTCTGAATCATCTCGACGCACTCTATCCAACCACGTATAAAAAAAATCCAAAAATGAAAACGTGCTGAATTTTCGAATTTCCGTAAGCTTATCAGTCTAAAAATTGTCAAGCGTTGTAGGACAAAACTGTTGCCTGTTTGTTGCCACTCAGATGGTATATTTAATTATTGCCTGAAAATAGAGTACAACAGAAATACTTGAGACGAAGATAATTGAAATAGACTTGCGTGTTATCAATGAGTTACATCTAGAGAAAAATATACAGTTATGTTGTGCTTTTTTCTAATAAGATGATGTCATCTCAAATGGATATGTCTTCTTTCGGCTAAATAACTCTTTCTAACACACATATCTGTACTTTTTTCAATAGCATACACAATCCTCCTTTTATACCTTTTGTGCAGTGTGAGTTTTGTATTTGATTGACTAAGCTGACAACTTTATATTCTAACCATAGTCTAAGATATAGACGAAACATTTCTTATGCAAAATTCAAGAATAGCATCCTTGTCCATTGTCCTGATTGTAAAGACAATGGACAAGATTTGTCCATTGTAATAAAATTGTATAATAATAAACTCACCTTCTCTTTTTCCGCCTACCTCATTATTTTATTTGATTGTAAAGAGTTTTCTGTAAGCTCTTGAGTTGTGTTTAGCTCAATGTGCTGATTACAAATCTAACAAAATTTTACTGAAAAGTATTTCCTAATTGAAAAAATGAAGTTTAATAAAAATTCAAGGTTTTACAAAACAGCGTAGTGAAGTGTAGAAAATGTTAGGCTGTACGTTCACATGAAATATGTGAATTAATGCGCTCTATCAAATGGGTAAAAGAAATCTCCAGTACGTAATCTTTGTACTGCTCCACGTACTATAAGTTTTTTAAATGAATGAAGTTTGAAAGAATTTTGAGTAACTCTTTAGCAATATGTTATATAGCAAGGGTGAAGTTCTTTGTGGTAGTATGATAGTTTGCGCATTAATACAACTCTTTTAGTTTAAGCTATTTTATTTCAAATTAGTTGCAGAACTTTAACACTAACAACTCGACAAGTCATTATATGTTAGTATTGGTTCTGATCTATAATCATTATGCCACATAAACACACAAAAAAAAAATATGTAAAATGAATAACAAATAAGAAAGGCACAAAATAGTGGAACAAATAAATAGATGAATAAATAATATGATAATAATACGTAGGTAGGCGGAAAAAGAGAAGGTGAGTTTTTGAAATGCAGTAAAAAATTACATTTTAAAACGAGAAATGAAAAGTTAAATAATAGTAGAGAGATAGTACATACATTTATATATTTAAAATTTGTTTTGATGTAAAACGTTCAGTTTCATTGATGTAAGTGATAACAGATTTGTATATTCGAAAGAGAGGGAAGTAGTCTTTAAAAGAAGAAGATTCACATCAATACGCAGGTCAGAATCACATTCATATATTTTATCAAAAAGTTTTTTTCGAGCAATAGTGTAGTTCTTGCAGTGCAAAAAGAAGTGTTCCACCGTTTCAATTTGAGAGCACAGACAAAATTGCGAGTTTGGTCTCTGTACGATATTTCTGCGCCATAGATCATATCCGAGGATAGAAAAGTCTGTACGCATTGATGGTACACAATGTCATCGCTTCTATTTACGTTTTTTATAACTGGTCTTTTCTGTGGTATTATTGTTGAACGATACCATTCTTTCTTAAATTTTTTGACTGATAACAAAACTCTTAATCTTTATTCTAACTGGTTCCATTAAATCAGTCTCACGACAATCAGTCTCATCACAACTCTTTTCCTTTCAACCTTGTTGGAAAATATGAAGTCCAATGTCCGATTGGACTGGGTTTCTGGAGATCCCGATTATTATTCATTCATGTTATGACCACTCGAAAAATCGTCCGATCGAACCGAAATTTTGACAAAGATACCTCAGACCCTATCTCTGATTTTAAATGTTTTTTTGAAAAGTTATTTCCCTTCACAACATATTGGAGAAATGATGAAAACCAATGTAAAAACACCTTTTGGGATTATGAAAACCTTCTCACGTCAAAATTCGAAATTGAAATCACTTAAAAATTTGCGTAATTTTACTGATACTTATAGTGACGATTTAGGACTAAATCGGCATAGGATTCCTTTTCCAGAAAATCGTATTAGTAATGAATTTATCGTAATAATTTTAGGCACAAATCAAACAATTGACCAAGCTAGACAGAAACAATTAAGTAAAAATAACCAGTAGTCCGTCCAACTTCAAAATTTGGTTTAAGACGACCTTTCGAATGAAAAATTTTAATTTCGAGAAATATTTGATTCTAGTATTTATATGTTATGAATTGGCTCACTGTCACGTTGCTGACCCTACACGTGTGTTGACTACTAGAAAACTAAGCGATTTATACAGAAATTGGAGTGGATTCATTACTAGCACGTTTTAACTTTACTCGACGAAAACTGATGCCACTACAATCTAAAAAACCTAAAAGGGATTAGAAGAGTGTCCCAATCAGTCCTTTATGATTTGATATAATACTGCAAAAAGAGGTATCGTAGACTTTATTAGCACTTGAATCCAGCTGAGCCATATCTGAACGAATATTTAGCGGAACAGGACGAATATTAAAAGTTCGCAGGCAATTGTTAAGTCCAGACTCTCTTAATTCTTTAGTGTTTGTTCGCAATTTAAATAATAAGTGATACTGTTTATTGTTATTTTTGTCGCGTATGTAGATAGAGCGACGTACGTTGTGCTTTTCTCACTTTTACGTATTCGGATACTGCTACGATTTTGTCGACTACGAGTTAAAGAAAAGATTTCGGATTGGGTACAGATCTAAAAATCGCATCCGGGAGATATTTAGTTGAAAAAGGAAGTTTTTTTTCTGTACGATATATTGCAAACGATTAAGGCTCTCCATTTGTCCCATATAGAGAAATGAGTAAAGAACTCAAATTGAGTTCTGCATAATCTGAAGAACTCGAAATGTATTCCCTATTTGGGACAAATTGAGAACTCAATTTCACATTGTTCTACAAGTTCTCTGAAAATCAGACTACAAATAAAACTACAAATAAAAGTGTTTTATGATTTCGAAGCTACACGTTACTACTGTCACAGTAATGTAAGTTACATGTGGTGATTTCTACGTATAAACTTATCTCCAAATACCTACATATGTGTCAAACACCTACATGCATGTGTTAGAGAATGAATAGAGAGGCAAAAAATAGTATCTAAAGATTAGATAAACATGAGCAATTGTGTGGACTCTATGAGAAAATATGTATTAGAGTATAATCTGTTACAATTATGATGACTAAAACGTATCTATATCTAGAACAATAATTCATTTCTTCTATAAAAAGCTATGTACTTATAGAAAATGTGGCATGCTACTAATATGCATTAATAAATAGTGTATTAAACATAAGAATCGAGTTTGCATCTGTTTGTCTCGTTTTTACATATTCATTTCAAGAGGAATAATGAATAAAAAAAGAAATAGTATTTCCTACTTTATATGGATAAACTAAAATATAGATGCTCGTGGAAGAAATGAAATAAAAAGTTATCGATATTGATTATAATAATCGTTTCTTCTAATCAATGTACGATCAACGAGTAATTAAAATAAAATAAATAACGATATAATAAGTAAAATAAAATAATTAACGTTTATTTTAATTGTATTTGATGTTGGACATACTGGACATGGAGTTGTTTTCGGTTGTTCCGGTTGTTTAAGTAATAATGGTGTTTTAGTACGTGATTCCTTCTTTTTTGACTTTTCATTGATTAGTAATTCTGAATATTGTTTTAATTCTTTGATGTTTTCATTTATATTTCTTGTACTTCGTGTACAACTACTAATACGAGATGGTGAACCCGATGCCCATATTTGCCATTGTTGACCTTTTTGAACATCTAATCCACATACATTCGAACTATTTCGAAATGTTTGAACTGTAATTGTTTGACCCGTTTTGTACAAACCTTTATAATTTTTTATTATTTTAAAATCAATTTTTTGTGTATTTTTTGACCGATCATAAATAATTTTTGATACATTACCAATAAATATATTATCAGTTTTATCATAATCATACTTTGTTAAATTTCCTAGGGGAGAACAACCACATGGAAAAGTATTTTGACTAGATAATGAAAATAAATAAATTAGAATTAATATTTTAAAGAATATGGCCATTGTTTAGAAGAGAATTATTTCTTCCTAAAAAAATTAAAATTATGTAAAAGAGAGAGAGAAATGTGTAATCTAGTTTTTCATCTACAAATATTATCTAAAAATTATATATTTTAGAATAATACTAAAGTTTTTTTAATTTTATTTACTTCATATACCTTTATTGCCGTTGTAATATATAAGATTTATTCTCAGAAGTAAATATCTCTCTATTTTTTATATCTCTTTAACTATGGCAAAAGATCAATAGACAGAAGATGATTATTGTCAATGGAATCCTTGAAATTCCCGTGAAGATTCTTTTTTTTTTCCTATTTTCTCTTTATGACTTTTATTATTTTTCATTATGGTTATCCTCCATATTATAGTTTACATATTTCGACGCTATTAGTGGTAGGATTAATAGTAGTGAGAAGCCTGACGTCCTTGTATATCCAATTATTCACACACTTCTGCATGTCATCGATGTTGTCTTACATATCTTAAGAATAAACAGAACGAATGAACGATTTACATATACAGATCGATTATGATGTTGATGATGATTGATAAGAAAAGGATAGCTATCCATAGAGATAGAACTGTATAGCAACACTTTTTTTCGATAAAAAAGACGATGGTGCATAGAGTATCAGCATATTGTATATAACTCTCAAAGAAAAATATTCACAAAATAACTCAGCACAACATCATACACACCTGTCCTAGATTAGACGACTCGATAATGAATTATTAATGAATCTTGTATTTCAGTCCTGAAGGTTGCCGACTCTTTGCTTTCAGAAAAAAGTGATAATTTGCCAATATATTTGTACAAATAAGAAAAAGATGATCTCCTATATAATGCAACTAAGAACCATTTTCTTTTTTTGAACGAGACCATGATACTTATATGGCACTGCGTAATGCGTGATTTTGAGATGAGTACATGAAAAAATAACTAGAAAACAGACCACTTTTTTATGATTTAAATAATTTTAGAAAAGCAAATGAAAATGAAATTATTGCAATGAATTATTATGTGATATTAGTTCTGTTTTTTGTAATTGTTGTTCACTTTGTTCAAAAAAATTTAAATTATTAAATCGTTAATTTTTTAGACGTTTAGTATACCATAATATTTTCTACAATAAGAAAAATATTTTCGGTGTAATATAGTACAGTTGTAGACTACATAATAATGAATTGTAATTCATTTTTCTTTTTAGTATTCTTTATATGAAAGTCGAAGGAAGTATAATTTGAATATAGTCTTTAAAAGTCCTAAGGCCCTCAATCACCATTACAATGAATTTTTCATCACTACTGCAAACTTGGAGACCTATGTACATCGTTCAAAAGAGCGTAGTACTCTGATCAAAAAAATGTCCTCTAAAAAATTTTAAACCAACAGTATTGTGTCATTTTCGGTTAGAATTAAAAAAAATCTTTTCACTATCAGTGAATTTTCTCCATAAAGAAATAAAATTACGAGAAATGTAACATTTATTATCGAAGTAATTGAGCTTATAAATAAAGTCTTTTGTTTTCGTTCATCAAAAAATTCATCGGGCCATATTAATTTTTCTCGATGTAAATAATTATTTCTTCGTCTGTTTGCTCTCTATTTGAAAAAAGTCAGAATGATTGTAATTGTAACAGTACCTATCTTGAATATCATTTGTTTATTTCTAAAATTTTATTATCTATTTATTTCAACGTTTCGACAAGAACATCTGACATTTTCAAGAAAAATAAACCGTATTAAGTGTACGAAGTGAGTTGAAAATATGACGTTCATTTAACTAAAAAGAGATAAAATTACATAATAGCTCGATAGTAAAAAGAGAGGTAAATAAAATGGAAACAAAGAGAGAAGAGAATATACATTGATATGTGTACTTTTGACAGATCATAAAATACTGAAAAATCGTGAATGTATTTCTCACAACAATAATTTTTAAAAATAAAGGATGTGGAAAAGGAGGATGAAAGCTGGAGAAAAAGATCTAAATCAATGCTCTATTCACCAGAGTCTTGAATTAATCTTTTCTGAACACCTTCAGAAACGATACAAAGTGGAAGAGAACGAACTGTGTAGTTCAGTTTCGGTTTATGGATTAATATTATTAAAAATTCTTTTATAGATTATTATCTTTAAGCAATATCTTAAATAAATGAATAAAATTTTATAAATAAACATGAGATTCAAAATAGCTGCTGATACACAGAGGTGGACGAGTTCGGATTGGTAGATTTTTTCGAAAGACTCGGATTCGAACTTAGTTTTTGTATTTCGAATGATTAACTTTTAATATAAATGAACAGGAAAATTTTTATTTTTTCAATGCCACTATGGTATATATAGACGCACGTATGTTACTCTCATTAGAATTAAATATAAAAGGTCGCGGTTGATGGTTACATCCTTTTCATAAAAGCATTCGGTTCAATTCACAAGTTAATGTTAGTTTCTTGGGTTTTTCTCGATATATCGTCCCGATTAAATTCAATTGTTTCTAATGTTGAATATTTCTACGTTCGATTACTACGTATGAGAAGGGATCATTGAGAAGATAAACCATTGGATGAGTTGACTTTTCACACATTAACCTCCGAGCAAATTCGACAAACTGGCAAATTACGATCTTATGTATTATGTAATTACGATTCTGTTTTTGCATGTAAACAAAAACTGTCCAGTTTTTGTTTACATGCAAAAACAGAATTAATTTAAATTTTGAGAAGAATTTTAAAAAACTTTTGAGTAAGTTAGCTGCAGATAGGTCCATAGTTATAACTCGTACTGACAAGGGTAGAGGTAATAACATTTGTAAGAGATTTGTTAAACTGGATGAAGATTCTATAATTTTTAAAGTGGACCAGTTAATAAGATTATTGCTAAAATTAAAAGAGAGAAACTTCACGTCGGAATCAGAATATATTTTATATCGCCCTTCGGGGTCCCGACCAGCTTGCACAGTGGACATTTTTCTAATAGCAGATGGACATCAGAACTTTTTGCTCATAAATTATGTTTTCATCAATAATTATCATTTCTTAGTCAACTCTGATACTTTCAAAGAAAACATAAACTTTTTCAGAAAAAGTCATTTTTTTTGATAAATCGGTCTTGCTGGTTCATGGGAAATGGATATTCTTTCGATTCAAAACTTATTGTGTTACACATGATTTGTTGTGACTCGACGTGCTGATTCCGAACATGACCTTATGTTTTCTTGAAAGTGCTCCTGGCCTGAGAAAATAGATTTTGCTAAAAACTAGGGTTTTTTGGAAAACCTACTGCGAAGCCCAGAAATATTTATGTTAATATATGCTAACTATATAAATGTGAGATGGATAGAAGAACATGTTAACAAAATTTAAGTCAGTTTAAAGCACGGCCAGGCATGGGCGAGTCCGAGTCCGGTAATCTTTTAGGTTCTTTTTTGATGAGTGTGGTTTATTTCTCTTTTTTAATTTACTGAGCAATGGACAGATATTTGATTTTTCGAAAATAGGGTTACTTCACATGTCCATCTCCCGAACAAAATTTTCAATTTCTTGAGAAACAGAAGGTGTTGTTATTTCCCTTTTCATTTTTCTCTGTTCATTTGTGTTAAAAGTTGAATAGATCGGACTCGCAATACAAAACTCAAGTCCCAGTCCAGACCCGCCCATGCCTGAGCACGGCATAACTTGACGCTTTCATTATACTGACTACGTTACGGTGGAAACGTTGTTAGGGTGGAACAGAGTTGGAACCGGGCCTGCAGACCGGCCGGCCCGGGCGGGTGCCGGTCCAGTGTAAAAGTTTAGACCGACCGGTCTCCACCGATCTTTTGCCGGTCTAAAAATATTTTCAAACCGGCCGGTGATCGACCGGTTTTAAATTCTTAGCATTTTTCTCTTCTTCGTTCAAGAAAACTGACATGTTCTTCATACATTAAATTTAAGACAAATGACTTAACATACAATAAC